GGTTCAGCTAACTCAATCTATTATACATAAATTAAATACTTGCAGAAAATATTGATTAAAGCCAGCTGGTCTGGTGCTTAGCTTGTAATGAGAACTGGTTTCAAGACAAAGAGAAGATAGACATTATTGTAGACATTTTACTCTTGGTTTAAATCCTGACAGGTAATTATTCTTCATTTCAGTTTTGTGATCAGGACTGGTGACAAACAGTGGTTGGTCATTTTGGTTGACTTAAAGTACAGCATAACAAGTGAGCATGGATTAGGTTCTCTTTTGGGGTGTAAATCCTGTGGGAGAACTTAGATCATGATATAACTTTATGCTTATTACCAGTCCTTTTGAAATGGGATCACAGGCTTTTGAAGGTGTTCATTCACGACTATATCCATTTCCAAAACATGTTAGCTCATTTGTAGCACATTAAGAAGCAACTGCGTTATTTGAAGGGACTTTCGCTCACTGTCTTAACTACTTAAGTGTTTGGGGTTTTTTTCTATTAATTTGTTCCAATTCCCAGAGGCTTTTGCTAGTACTACCATCAAATTGCCAATTTATGAGGAAGCGTAGATGGAATATGCCTTTAGTTAGACTAGAGCACTTCAGAAAAACAGGTATTTTTGTTCTAAGAGCTTCTACATGACAGTAATACCATAATTACTGTATTAGTAAAAACTGTGTATTACTCATGCCTGCTGAGAAACAGGATGTGTCACACTATGATGTGACTTTATTGCTTTGGACAGGAGCTGCTTTGCCTCTGCTTCTGTCCCTGAATATGTCCTACAGCCATGGGACTGCTCAGTATGAGCAAGTGTTTTACATGGTGACCCCATGCTTTTAACTTTATCAGTAGATCTAAAAATGAAATGGAGATGAAAAGGTGCAATCATAAAGGAGTCTAAAGAATGGCATAGTTTGCTCTTCCCTTTTCTATTTTTAGACTCTTATTAGTGTTTTCAAATTGTGTTTTGATAAATCAGATCCTTTAGCTTCATATGACAAAACTAAAAATGTTAGAATAGGAAATCTCCTAAAGCTTGTATTTAACCATTCTGTCTGTTGCCTTTTATTAAGCTATACATAACCTCACAAAGCAAAGCTGATTATTTCATTGTTCCAGAACAATGAAAAGAGGAGAAGCAGAAAGTCAGAGAGTCTAGAAAAAAGAGGCTAGTCAAAGAGGCTAGAAAAGAGGAGAAGCAGAAAGTCAGATTACGTGATATAGCAGATTGTATGAAAAGAATGCATTATCTATAAAAAGTTGTTTGGAAGAACATTGATATTTTTTCTAGATTATAGGTAAGGGCCATACTATGAAAGTTCTTCCTGGAAAAAATGACTAGTTTTGTTTAATTTATTGTTTCTTTATTTAAATTGAAAGACAGAATATATAGTAATAATGACATCTGCGGAGCTTATCCTTTTGTAGTTTCTATCATTAAGATAATTTCAGTCTCTTATGTGAAATCTTCAGTTGCTGCTAAAGTAGTGGTGGGAGGTTGAAATTAAAATAACTTATGAATACCAGCTACTGCCTGGTTTTCCTTGCAAGAGTAAAAACATTTTGGAGAAGTGGTGATGACAGTTCTTTATTTCTTACTCTGAATGAGTCTTATGAGAAGCCTTCTTATGCCAAAGCAGAAACAGTCAACAGTTATCAGCAGGAATTTCTAAGTTGTATAACCTAAAGGGGCATGTGATACAGTGAACAACCATCAGACTTAACTGCTGTTCCCAAATGATTTTTTTGTTCTTTTCCATACAGGAAAGTGAGTCTCCTCTGAACAGTAACGTCACAGCATTTGCATTAAAGGCAAAAGTGATTTATCCCATCAATCAGAAATTTAGGGTAAGGTTTTAAACTCTACTTGTAAAAGTTAATGACAATAGTTCTGTGTGAGATTAAACTGAAGAGTCAAGTAATGGAAGAAAACTGACTACCAGTCTCTTTAATAGGAATCTTTCTTGGTTTATAGTCTGTTGACTCAAGGCTTATTCTGTACGGCATCAGCTGATTTCAGCTCCCCATGAAACCTGCAGTGCTTTGTATGCACCAAGCAGAAAACCAGAACAGAAGAATGTTTTTCTGGGCAATGCAGAAACCGATCAGTATGATGAGTCTTAACTTTTGTGGAAGCATTTTTATTGTGTATATTGTTTAGTTTTTTTGCTTGAAAGCAAACACTGGAAACTGATTAGATGTTTACATCCTTTTTGTATTGTTTTAATTGACTTTGTGAATTTCCTTCGTCTGTAGCCTTTGGCCGATGGCTCATCCAATCCCTCTTTGCATGAGAATCCAAAGCAGGCAGTTCTGCCTAATCAGGTCATGGAGACATCTACATCAGGCAGCCTGGGATCCTTGAGCCAGGGAGACAAAGAGGACTGCAGTTCCTCCACAACAGTACATTCCACAACAAGTGATGACAGATTTCAGGCGCGAGCCTTCCTCAAGGTGACCAGCTTCCCTGAAGTGCTAACATGTGAGAGGTAAGCAGTAGACCTATGCTTGTGTTTGGTCTTTTCCTAGCATGCCTGAGTGGTTTTCAGGACGATCACTAAAGACCTGGTGTAAACCAGAGGCTGGAATTGAATTCGTACATTCACCACATCAAGACAGGGTTATCTGCTTACAACCCTAAAAAAGTGGTTGGGGAGATTAAAGTAATACATCATGCTGCCTATTGAAAGTCACTTTGCTGTTTATGAAATTCTGGGAATCAGAGCTTTGGCAAAAGCTGTCTCGTAAAAGGTCTGTCACCGTTAGGATGAGGAGATCCCTTTTGTTTTGGCTTGTATGCTCAGTTCACAGGTGCAGTCACATGCTTGTTTGGGGATGGGGTCCTCTGCACTGCACAGTGTCACTCATGCAACCAGAGCCTTGTGAATAGCAAGTGGCAGCGGTCTGTTCTCTCCGTTTTAATGGAAACTACTTGTGTGTTATCGTGGGGGAAAAAAGTTCCTTTCTCAGATGCACCACTAATGAGCAGGTAGAGCTAATCAAAATGAACTGTAAGCTCTGATGCTCTTTCAGCTGCACCACAGCAGGATAACCCTAGATGAAGGTACTAGTGATGAAGAATATTTTCAAAATATCTATTCTTATTACAGCTGTTATAATTTAAAGCCTTGTTTTCCATTCGTTGTAGCCTCTTATCCCTATATTTATCTTGCCCTTTTTCTAAAGGGAACTGTAACTCCAAGTTTGTTAAAAGCACTATTTTGTTTTTCTTACTTTTGTGTAGTGATATTGCATCTGAAATAGAAGGCAACTTGATAATAAAGTGACTTGACTGATGTTTTGAGTCAATACTTCTAGGAGAACTTAGTGGTTAAAAGAAACTGTTAGATGGTGTTGCCCTTTTATGTAACCCGCCTTTATATGGTATTAACACTTTTCTAATCTTTGTTTTAGTTTTGATGTTAAGCTCTGCCTTTGCAGTCTTATTTTAAAAGATCTCATGCTTCTTGATACTGAACTCAGAAAAGAAAACCATGTGGTAGGTACTCATCTGTCATATATAGCACTTTGTTTTGAACATCCTAGTTGAATATCACTTTAGGAAATAACATACACTACTTCCCAGCTAGCAAGTTGTTTATCAGAGTTGCATTGCTGCAGTGTTTTGTTTATTTTTTTCCCATTCTGCATATATATGAGTTTCGTAAAGGAATAAAATATAATGAAATATATTAGGCTGTGAAATACAGAGGGTCAGACTGGATAATATAAAAAAAATTATTTTTAAACTTTACCCCAGAGAGCAACATACAGCACTTGAGGTTAATAAAAAGAGGAAAAAAAATATTTAATGGTTGAGTTTGTCTTAAGAACAGTGATTGTGCATTGCAACTCCAAGGATTCCAAGCTCTTTGAATAAAATTGGAAATTCAGTTCAGCTGAATCAGTACCATTGGGATAAGTACAATAGTGATGATTTTGAGGGACAGAGGAATTAAGGTACCTCTTTAAACTGTAGATAGCTACCTATATCAACCCACAGCATCCAAAGCTGACAGGAAGAAGCAGCACAACACAAAACAAAAATGGATGTATATGATTAAAGCCACATAATTCTCTCTTAGGATAGTTGTTTACAGTGACTAGTTATGATCCAATACAGAATCATTACCAATACTGAATTTTAGCTCAGTTAATATAAATCTGGGCATAAGATAAATAGCTTTCTCCTCCCTTTTTTTTAACTCAACCTCTGTTTAAATAGATTCATCATTTCTGATATAACTTATTAAATTCACTGAGAATATTTCAAGGGGTGGGATTTTCTGAACAACTTTCTACACAACCCAGAGGAGGAAGCATGAAGGTAAACCTTGAAAGCAGCTTCTTTTCTGCTGAGTTATTCTCATCTAAGTAGATGAGAAAGGGAACTTGAGATCAGATTCCACAAGGAAGTTTAGCTTGACTAGGCAAGGCTGAACTTGATCTCGAAGTTAATCATCAATTTGTAAATGAAGTTAAGGTAACACCATGGTGATGTAATCGCAGAAACACTGAGAAAACAAGTATTTAACACACTGTGGTCCACCAAAACTTACCACAAAAGGCAGATTACTTTGACCTTTAGCTGAAGCTTAGGATAGCTTTTTATTTTTGCTAGCAGAGGCAGAATAAATAAATCAGTCTAGAGAATTTTCTTCCTTTTCTGCTATACTTCTTTTGTTTTCAGTCAATCTTTCTTAGCAAACATATCTTCTTCCTTCAGTGTTTTCCTGAATTATTTTATTTTTTTTTCCTTTTTACAGTATGTGGTATCTTGGTGGTGTGTGTTCAAATCTTTCCAAACTCCTATCCAAACATTGGCAAGTGAGATCCAAAACATGGATGCTTTATGGTTTTCTCTTCTACTGAGCCCTAATTGCAACATATTTTCCAGATTTTGCTCAGCTGAAATGTTGGCTTTGATAACTGTTTTTATATGTAAATATGATTTTATTTCTTGTTTTATATGTCTAAAATGGGCAATTTCTGCATCATCTGTTTTCAAGTACATGAGTAACAGGCAGACGACTGTTAGATTTCATGTATTTTTACCTTCATGTTGGAAAATGCTTCAGCAGTTAGTAATGAAAGGAATTGTCTTTACACTCACACTCTAATTGAGGCAAGGGGGAAGACAAGAAGCAAAATTCATCCCAGTGTCTTTTTGAAAATATTTGTATTACAATCTTTAAAAAAAAGAAAAAAGCACAGAACTGGAAAATAGGTGTAGTTTTTGTAAGAGAGGGTAGCTGGAACTTGAGATGGTTACTTTTAGATTCTATACTACAATTGGAATCATAGTAGTGAATGTATTAGTGTCTTTCAGTGTAGGGTTTCATTAAACTTTAGAAAAATTTGGCTTTATATGTTTACATGCTCTGCATTTTCTTCAGTAAAGGACAGATTAGCTCAGTCAGTTGAGCATGGCGCTAACAACACCAAGGTCACGGGTTCGATTCCCGTTCGATCCCCATGTGTTGCCTGATCTAGTCGACAGGTGGTGTCCCTGGCGACAGGGAGGCTGGATTAAAATGATCTCTAAGGTTCCTTCCAGCCTAGGCCATTCTGTGATTCTGTGATTCTAGGATGTGTCAGTGGTTGCAAGGACATAATTCCTTGTGCACTTTAGAATGTAACACCATCTTACTGAAGCCAAAGGGAAGGAATTGTTCACAGTGGAAGTACTGCAGAGTGGCTGATGATGTTTCTGTTGTGTTGCTTATAATTCACTGTAATCTCACTGATTGATTTAAATCAACAAATGTTATGACGAAAATGTCACTACGATGCTGAACAGGCACTTATACTGGATGTTGTTCCCTTCCTTTTACATAGATGTTTATTCAGCTTCTCAAAATACACTTCACAGACTTTTATCATAAAAAGAAGATTACTGATGGTTTGTTCAAGAAGATCCTTTTGATTCAAGAAAATGTAAGTAGTTTTGCTGGTTAATATTTAAGACCCTAGAAAATAAGACTTAATGCCACCAGCTGGTGCAAGCTGCCACAGCAGGCTGTCTCACCTACTTCTTTTAAACAGCAGTGTCATTTGTAATCTATTTCAAAAGAAGAAATGCAAAGAAGCTCCCTTGTTTGTTGATTCTCTCCATTGCCTTGTATGGGTTTTCTCTTTGTTATTGTTTGAGGTGGTCAGGACAGTGATGTGTGTAATCTGTTAAGGATAAAAGTATTTTGTAGTTGAATCCTTTCAGGCAAACAGAACATTATGGACCTTATTCACTCATATTTAATAATTTCTGATTATCAGGTGTTTGTCTGGTCCTGTATGTTGTTACTGACAATAAAATAGCTGGAAATAAGTATGAGAAGGAAACTCAAGGCTTTCATCAAGGGAAAATATACTTATTTTGCTCATTGTCTTTTTTTCTTCCGTATACTTCTACCAAAGCCTGTATGCCACGTGTGAACGGGAAGACATATGTTGACAGTCAGTATGCATTTCAGTACAGTCACATTACTATTATTAAGATGATTAAAAGGGAGAGAAAGCTTTACAAACTTCTGTAGGAAGCAGGATCTTAAGTAGGATTATGCAATGCCCTGCCGGTCCAAGTCTTGACTGTTTGCCACTGAGGGAGACTCCACCGTTTCCTTGAGCAGCCTAGTCCTTTTTTATCATAGTAATGATTATTTTGGAATTTCACATTTAGGCCCTAGTCTATCAGCTTGTCAGCTCTGTTTGTTGAGATTTACTTTGTTCGTGCAGCCTCACAATCTGTAGTTTTGCCTTATCATTCATATCAGAATGTATTTTGCCTTAAAAACACTCTTCTGCCTTAATCGGGCTTAGTATGAAAATTGATTGTATTTACTAAATGAAAAGTAGGATTTGGTGTCCAGATCCCTTTTTCTGATAGACTTCTGGTGATGGCTTCGAGTTTTAAACACAGAGGCAATACAGATTAGGCATATTTCCTAGTATAGCCTAATCCTCAATGAGACTTGACAGTATTAGTGTTTTCATGCACCAAACAGGGTTGCTGCAACAGAAAGACCAAATCTTGGTTATTAGATGCTGTAATTAGTGCAGTAGTCCAGTTATTTAAATGTCAGTATAGGATTCCTTTGTCCTATGCTGTGGAGAAAAACGGTCTTGGAAATATGGCAGAGTTGGGATATCACTTAAAGGCTGAGGCTGGTTGTCAATAAAATGTAAAAGAGACATGGGTAGTAAGCAAAAGTATTAGCACCGGAAACAGTTTACTATAATACTGAAAAGAAAGAAGAAGAAAAAGAAAAAGAGAAAAGGAAAAGAAAAAGAAAAAGAAGAAAAATTCATGAAATTATTTGTGAAGCTTGTCAAAATCTGGTTAAATTACTTTAAGGCATAAGTGCATCAAGTTAGTACCTTGACACCCCAGATCAAGTGGTATTAAAAGTAAATGCTTGTTGAGTGAGGCCTGTTTCAGCAAGTGCAGAACTATCCATTTTAATACCAACCTACTAAGTAATGGCAGAAGACTAGTATTTGTCAATATCAGTAGCTTTCAGAAAAAAATCATCCTGGTTTCAAAAGATTGAAAACCCTAAAAAGCCCATATAATCACATAGCCTGTAATTTGTCCTTCATGAGCATTACAGGTGTGTTCATCCATATGTGCTAGCACTCCGTGGGAAACACTGTCTGATTATCACATCTGGATACTTCCCTGTGCTTTTTAAACACAGCGTATACGCTTTTAACTGCCATTTAAGATGGGGCTTGTAAATTTGAAAATACTTATGGATTGATTCAAAGGATTCTTAGTATGAAAGCTTGTGGAGAAGTATTTACTAAAACTTTAGTTCAGTGGAGATGGACAGCAGTCTTGATTGTACTCATATACTAGTAGAAATGTCCGTATTTGTATTAAGTGCAGTTCAGAGCTGCCATATACCTTTGAGTTTTCTTTGCTTGCTGCAGAATTTTCTGAATGCTCTTGTTCAACTTCTGTAACCATGAGCCAGACCTGACATACAAATCACTCTTGAGTGTAGAAGTTACATCTGACTTTGAGCGCAACAAATCACTTGGTTTGTTTTTTCTTCCCCCCCAGGATTTTGAAGAATTACAGAAACAACTTGACTCTAGATTCCAGAATACTGAGATGTCAGGAGCCCATAATTCAGAGTACCAGACTCTAGAAGACCTAGAAAGGAAACAAAGGGAATGTTCTGAGCACATAATAGATAATGTAACTTTCTATATTTTTCTAAAAGTTTATTTTAATGTTATTCTTTTGCTGGGGAAATGCTTTTTTATTTTTTTTAACTATTGTGTGGACTAGCCCCAGTTAGTAGTTTGATTGTGAATGAGTTCTGAAAACATTTTTACATTGCTTTGGGAAAGCATTTCCAACTCCCTTTGGGAACTAGTTTGGGTTTTGTACCAGCACAGTTTTATCACGCTGGTTTTAGAGCTGAGAAATGTCTATTGCTTGTCAAATGGTAAGACTTACTTCAAGCCTATGTATAGCCTGGCTTTTAGAATTATATACTAACACCTTGTTTTCTTCAATTCTGCATAACTGAGTAGAAGAGTAATAAGGGACTGTAAAACTTACTCAGGTTAAATAACTGCTAAGAAAATAATTATACTGCAACCTGTTAGTTTGCTTTGCACATTCACTTTTGCAAAACATTTGTTTAGCAACTTTCCACGTTGGAATACATTTACATGTTTTTAGATGTAGAAATACAGTTCGATAGCAGGCATTTGATTCTCACAGTAAAGTTTTTATTGTTTTTTCTCTCTTCAGTAGTGTCACTGTGTCTGAATAGCCTGCAGGCTAGAAAACTGGAGCTTAAGAATATTTTGTATATTATTTTCCAGTAAACTGAATAATCTGGAAGATATTCTCCTTCCCAGTCCTGGTTTTGAGGTTTGAGCAAATTCACTGCTGATGAAAATGAGAGACTGATGGCTCTGTGAGCTGCCTGCACTGATTGACTGTGACACTTCAGCCCTGAGCTTGAGCCTTTTTCATATGGGAGTTAACATTTTTCAATGTCTGGTGGTTAAGTGCCTCACTGGGAATTTTCTCAGCTTTGTCTTGATTCTCTGTGCCTTTCAGTTCATAGTGGATGTCCTGGTAACAATGGTACATCTGTGTCAAGTTTCTTTTGCAATTTAACTTTGCTTTGTGAAAAACTGATTGTTTAGAGTTCTCCAAAGTTAATCACATAAAAAAAATTGCTGGCAGCCTCACTGAGCAGCATGAGGCAGTGATTCACCAGCAGCAGTCACCCTTCAGTGGGTCTGTCACTCTAATGCCAGCAGATGCTTTTCATCCATGTTGAAAATGATTTCCCGGTACGCAGACTCATATAGATCAGGACCTTGAACTAATCCACTCTTGCCTAAGTAATATAAAAGAGATTTTTTTGCCATAACACAGCTTTTTTCAAAACTCACAGATACTTAGTACAAACCTTGTCAATGGATACATTTTCTTATCTTTATGTGTACTAGTAGTCTTGTTGAAGACAACAAAATATTCATGGTTGTGCACAGTCTTAAAGTATTTGTGGGTTTGGAGCCTAAAATTAGAGCTTACCCATATGATAATGTATCAGAAAGAGCACATACACTGTGCTGATACTGCAGAAAGTACTTAATTCCAGCGCAGTTAATAGTGTTTATGTAGCATGTGGCTTTGATGGTGAAACACTGGCAGTTTTCAGTTTTCCTTCTTTAGCAGAAATCTTGTTTGACTGGAATGCCAGCTCCCACAGCTAAATAAACTTCCCATAAAAAAAAGGGCTACAGTTTGTTTTCATTTTTAGTTTTCCCAGTAATACTAACAACATAATAGACTTACCTCAGGTGATGAGGACTGGGTTATGGATCAGTTTGGCAATCAGAACATCCATAAATCCATAGGCCCTGATGGGATAAACCCACGGGTGCTGAGGGAGCTGACGACAGTCATTGCTAGACCACTCTCCATCATCTTTGGTAAGTCATGGGCAGCAGGAGAGGTGCCTGAGGACTGGAGGAAAGCGAATGTCACTCCAGTCTTCAAAAAGGGCAGGAAGGAGGACCCGGGTAGCTACAGACCTGTCAGCCTCACCTCCATCCCTGGAAAGGTGATGGAACAACTTATCCTTGGCACTATCTCTAGGCATATCAAGGATAAGAGGGTCATTAGGAGCAGCTAGCATGGTTTTACCAAGGGGAAGTCATGTTTGACCAACCTGATAGCCTTTTATCAGGACATAACCAGGTGGATGGATGATGGCAGTGCAGTGGACGTGGTTTAGCTAGACTCCAGTAAAGCATTTGACACCGTCTTCCACAGCATCCTCCTAGCTAAACTGAGGAAGTGTGGTCTGGATGATCAGGTAGTGAGGTGGATTGTGAATTGGCTGAAGGAAAGAAGTCAGAGAGTTGTGGTCAATGGGGCAGAGTCTAGTTGGAGGCCTGTATCTAGTGGGGTCCCTCAGGGGTCAGTACTGGGGCCAGTGTTTTTCAATATATTCATCAATGACCTGGATGAGGTATTAGGGTGCAACGTCAGCAAGTTTGTTGATGACACAAAACTGGGAGGAGTGTTTGATACACCAGAAGGCTGTGCTGCCATTCAGCAAGACCTAGACAGGCTGCAGAGTTGAGTGAGGAGAAATTTAATGAAATACAAGAAGGACAAGGGTAGAGTCTTGCACCTGGGAAGGACCAACTCCAAGTAGGTTGGAGATTGATGTGTTGGAGAGCAGTGTAGGGGAAAGGGACCTGGGAGTCCAGGTGGACAGCAGGATAACCATGAGCCAGCAATGTGCCCTCGTGGCCAAGAAGGCCAATGGCATCCTGGGGTGGATTAGAAGGGAAGTAGCTAGTAGGTCGAGAGAGGTTCTCCTACCCTTCTACCCTTGCCCTGGTGAGGCCACATCTGGAATATTGTGTCCAGTTCTGGGCCCCTCAGCTCAAGAGAGACAGGGAACTGCTGGAGAGAGTCCAGCGCAGAGCCACAGAGATGATGAAGGGAGTGGAACATCTCCCTTATGAGGAAAGGCTGAAGGAGCTGGGTCTCTTTAGCTTGGAAGAGACTGAGGAGTGACCTCATAAATATTTATAAATATGTAAAGGGTGAGCGTCAGGAGGACGGAGCCAGGCTCTTCTCAGTGATGTCCAGTGATAGGACAAGGAGCAATGAGTGCAAGCTGGAACGCAGGAGGTTCCACAAAAACGTTAGGGTGACAGAGCGCTGGCACAGGCTGCCCAGGGATGTTGTGGAGTCTCCTTCTCTGGAGACATTCAAAACCTACCTGGACGTGTTCCTATGTGACCTACTATATGATCCTGCTCTGGCAGGCGGGTTGGACTCGATGATCTTTTGATGTCCCTTCCAACTCCTGACATTCTGTGATTCTGTGGTTTTTATAGATGCAATATGTGGAGAACTAACAAAAATTCTCAGTGAGTTACACAGAATGAGTACATGTAAAAAGGTCAGGGCTGACTTCACTGGCTATGTGCCACCAAGACATGTATCATCATACAGTAAATTGTCTCCTTAGCTTTGTAAAAAGTTCTCTGTAACTGATACAGAAAGCTGTTGGTAGTGTCAGTGACTTGTATCTCAGTAGACTTACATGCCTCTTACTGTAATGAAATACTAGATGATTAATAAGGGAACATGGATTGTTTTTTTTGATTTATATTCCACAGATGGAAGCTTTCTGGAAGCAGACTGAAAAAGCCCAGCAGGCTTTTCTGGACCAATCAAAATGCTCAAATGCCAAAGCAGCAAAGATGATGACGGATCTGACTGAGACGATGATTGCAGCAGAAAGTATATTAAGTGAATCTCAAGACTTGCAGGCAATGGTAAAGTGCAAAAAAGGAAATAAAAGTTGACAGAGATTTAGTCAACCTCAACTCAAAGAATGATGAAAGTGTACAGAGTCTGTCAGTCCTGCCCCAGGAACGATGTAGACTGCTTACTCCAGTTGTCTTTCTGAGCTTTGTTGCGAAGAGCTCAGCTTCCATTGCAGTTTATGAAGACTCGCAAGAGGGTGAACTCTGTACATTTGAATTCTAATTCTCAGAATACTGTTTAGGCAGTCATGGTAGGAAAAAGTTATATTAATGCAGCCAGTGAGCCAAGAGCAAGAGCACTAGATCTAATGATGAAAGAGAGTCATTACCCTGGGCATTAGAATATTTCTTTTCCTTTCAAAGTATTTATTCCATTTTGACTGAGAAATCCTAATTTAAATTTGAGGGTGAGTCTCTGTGTCCACTGTCTTTAGATGAAATTGAAAACCCTTAGCATCTCTTAGTGATACGGTTTTAAGAGGGGAAAACTGTTTGTAAATGCATCAGCACTGCTTTATGTTCTCTTAAATCTAACAGATCCCTTATTTGCTTTGTGTAGGGCATACTGAAATATATAGATTAACAATACAGTTGGAATCTTGCCCACTGCATTTATGAGTAATTTGGAGAATAAATGCATAGCTAGCTTTGTTTTGCTCACTAATAAACAGTTATACAGCGGAGCAGCTAAGTAAACTGAGCTGGCCGTGTGTGAGAGTAGTCTTTGCAGCTGATCACACTTGACTCATACTGGGCTCCCGTACAGTAAGTTCCTTTATATGAGCAGACTTCAAATTAGGTGTTTGGATACAGATACCTAAACTATTCCTAGCTAAAATCAGTACTGTGATGCTTGCACTTCATTGAAAAGATCCTTGTATGTGTATTTCTGTGAAATACAGTAGTTTTCACCTTCTTTTCAATCTTGCAGCATTGTCTAAAGCATTGGTTGAGTTGTAGTTTCACCCAGGAAATCTTGCTCCTTGCTGTAACCCTGGGTTTCTTCTCTAATAATGCAATGAAAACTGCTAGGCCATAGGCAATTACACTAATTTTAGTGTGTTTATTGAGCTCCAGTTGACCACATACTTGAAGGCTTTCCAGCAGTATCAGAATCAGATATGTGTCCTCATTTCAAGATGAAGGCTCATACTAGTATGTCATACAGCATCTTGAGAAAAAGTCCAGGGCTTCAGTGTTGCCCTTCTGTTCGTCTTTCCCCCTTGAATATTTAAGTTTGTTCTGTAAGCTTGTTGTTGTCTTTTTCCTGCCTTAATGTCTTCTTGACAGCTACAAATTAAGAAAAACACCAGTAGTTTTAGATTGCCTGTTGCAACTGAACATGCGGTAAACCCACTGCTATGCTATGCCAGTCAGGATTTCCAGAAGTATTTAACTACATGAAGATTGTCATTCACATGGTCGTGAGAAGCCTCCTTGGTTTTCTGTGTAGTTTGGGAATGAATAATTCAAAAAAAGGACAAGCACAATGTTCTTGGTTTTCAAACAGGACTTTTTAATGTTTGGTTTAGGACATCCAGGAGAGGTTATTCAACTGGGAGCTTATGGTGAAAATGATCGATTCACTGAAGTCCTGTATACCAGAAGAGTGCAAGTGCAGATTAAATATTGTATCAAACATTCTGGACCATTTAACCGTAAAGAATAATCTCTCAGTCCGACAAAAGGAAGAACTTTTAACTGATCTGCATAAGGCCTTCTGGGAACAGCTGGCACATTTCAGCAATGGTGAGTACTTAGACCAGAGCTAAAGAAATTATGGCTTCAGCCTTTGTTTTACAAAGGTATTGATGAATTGGTCAGAAATATCATTATTGTGAAGGATAGATGCTTAGAATGGGAACTTTGGCTTTAAGCCTTTTAGGCCTCGTTCCATGCATTACTGTGAACATAATCTATACCATATTTCATGATTTTGATCATTGAAGAAGAGTCACATTTGTTACAAGTATTTGTGAGTTTTCTCCATTTACTGTTCATGTACTTGGCGTCATTGGTGATACTGGCTGACGTTAGGGACAGTAACAGCTACGTGTGCGCAGGATACCGTCTTGTGATCTCCTGCGAGCCTGTGGAGCCAGAGGATACACAAAACATAGTTGTGCTGTCACTCTCGTGAGAAGATAATTTGAAGGCTTATGATCTTCAGATAAAGCTCTCTTTACTATGTCAGACCACCATTCCAGTTCCATTTTCATGGCCTTTTGTTGGACTCTTTCCAGTCTGTCCTCTTGTACTGAGGAGCCCAGAACTGGACGCAGCACTCCAGGTGTGGCCTCAGCAGTGCTGAACAGAGAGAAAGCGTTACCCCCCTCCACCTTCTGGCGATGCTTTGTCTGATGCAGCCCAGGATAACATCACCCTTCTTGGCAGCCAGGGCACATTGCTGAGACATGAAGTGGTGACAGACCATCAAAAGCATCAATTCCTCTCTGCAGCACAGGATCCAGATAGACTCATGAATTTATAAATCACTGGAAGCTATAGAGGGGACAAAAGGGGGAAGAACTCTATCCCAAATATTTCACAGTGCTAGCGCAATATCAGAGGGACCTTGACGGCTTTTACTGCAGGTTCCTGGATGAGTCCCTTTGGAAGCCTGCTATGGCTGCAAGGAAGTTCAAGCTAATGTGAAACAGCACTGCTCTAGACCTTTTCTTCCCACCATATGTTACTGCCTCTGTCTTGCAGAAGCATTTGCATATCTGCAGTTAGATAATGAGCCACTTCTGGACCTTCCCGAAGCAGGAGTGAGAGGTCTGGAGTCCTGTGGATGGGAATCTATTTCTTGAACTAACACCCCTTCCTTTGCATACACAGCAGCACCAGTGGAAGGGAGGGTGCAGGATGCTAGTGATCAAAAAACCTAATGTAAGTGCCATGTAACAACTCAGACATTCACGTCTGAAAAGATCAGCGGGGTAAAAATCAATTTTGAAGTCCTGTATGGTAATTACTTACCTGTTTCACTCACTAACAGATTTCTGTGAGCTGACAGTAGCAGATGCTGCTTTTCTCTGTGGAGTTGTGATATCTAGTCATCAGTGGTTTATGTTCCAGAATGCATGCAGCAGAGTAAAGATCTGATCTTGAAACGATTAGAGTGCCGTGCAAAGAAGAGAGAAGAGTTCAAACACAGACAGAAAGCTGAACAAGGGAGTCTCCTCAGTAAAACTTTTCATAATGAAGATGTTCATGATTTTCTTAAGGTGGGCAAGTTAAAGCTTATTTTTACTATTCCATTAGTTTTTAAGGCCAAATATATTGCAGAATTGTCCTAGTTCTATAAAATCAGAATTTTTGAGTCCTCCTGAGAGTCACGTACAGTAGCACAGGTAGGATGAGGTCAGACCCCCTATTGTCCTAGGCCTACCTAGAGACATCTTCTCCAGTGTTGGTCTTGTTGCATTGGAGCGAAATGCCGAAAGGGTGTTAATGCTAGGTTGCGTGTTTTGTAGACAACATCTTTACTTAGAGACTATATGTTTGGTTCAGTATGGGAAATCTCTGGAGGGGAGTATCTAGCCTGCATTACAGAAGAAAGCAGAGTGCACTGATCTAATTGCTTTTCTGTGAATGAGGTTACAGAGGCTCAAAATACTCAAACTTCACATAAGCAGAGGGAAAATTGATCATGATTGCTGGGAGGATACCTTAGAGAAGGTTTGCAATAGATAATTTAACATGGTATACAGTGGGCAGTGTAATGTTTTCTTGGTGATATTTTCTTTAAAGCTCTACTGTTATTGTTCAGAATCTATATACAAAATCAGAGTTCTTAGCTGTAAAGCTGAGAGCTGCAAAACTCCTATAACTGCTGAGAACTACAGACCCAAGTTATTAAGAAATAAAATAAAAATCAATCCTCAATTTTTCTGAAAAGAAGTAATTTAAGATTAAAGCATTTACATCCAGCACATTAAACTTTTGATGAAATTTAATAACTTAGATAAATTACTGTATGAGAAGACCTAGATTCCAGCTGTAGCAAACTGTCAAAATTTACTGATCTCAGCACTACAATTTTGTACTGCGGGGCCACGTTGTTTAATTATATTGTATGAATTGGATAATGCAGTTACTGTTCTTGCACCTGTGTGGCAACATCTTACTTCAGAAAAAAGTTTTCAGGCACTTAAAAACTGTGGAGCGCATTTTATGTCTTTGCCTTTTTGTTTCTTGAGATAAGTAACTACACACATTTTTGTAGCCACTGAATATTTGTGAATGTATTTTCCTTGTGCATATAATTGAAAACTCGTGGGCACATCCCAAATTTATTAAACAAAGCTTAGAAATTTTATATTAAGACCTTTCACCTACAAAGTTAAAGCCCTACAGCTTTGTGCAAGAGATGCTCTATTCTGTGAACCTTAGAATGCTAACGTGTAGTTAAACTATGTACTAATGATCTGCTTGCAACATAATGAGCAGTTTGCACTTCACACTGCAAGACAGAACACAAATGAGTCTTCATATTGTGAGCTGCATGTGTGTAAATAACAAAACAAGTCAGAAGTTTAAGCCTCTCTGCTGCCACAGTGGAGAGAGCCTGTTGTCTCAGAACAGATGAAGTCCTAAGTCCAGAGAATAAGAAATATTGTATCTGTGTGCAGCTCCCATGATTTGACTTAAGTAGTTCAGAATTTATTTTGTGTGAGTGATCCCCTCAGCATCAAGGAGCTATTTTAAACCTGTTTTAAGGTTTCACAGCCAGCCCAGCAGTGAAGGAGTTGGTCCTGAGTCCTCACCATGAGCCCAGAGTTGTACCCATCAGATACACCTTTCTTCTTTACCTTCCCGCCTCCACCTCATCAAACAGCTTGCACCACCATGGTAGCAGCTTTGGCAATAACTGACCTTTCTGCTGAATTTTAAGTGTTTGCCAGTTAAGAAGGATTTTGCAATTAGCTTTCTTCACATGAGTTTCTTCTGAACGCAAGTTGGGTAGTAACAATTTAGTTGCTGCAGTTCTGATTTTTTCACACAGAATCACAGAATCACACAGAATCACACAATGTTAGAGGTTGGAAGGGACCTCAAAAGATCATCTAGTCCAGCTCCCCTGCCAGAGCAGGATCACCTACAGTAGGTCACACAGGAACGCGTCCAGGTGGGTTTTGAATGTCTCCAGAGGAGATTCCACAACCTCTCTGGGCAGCCTTATATGAAAGAATGACCTAGATAGTAAAGCTTAGGGTCCTTGTATCATTGTGACTCCTTCATCTGTGTTTCTGCTGGAAAAAAAAGCATTTTTGTTTTGTTTTTAACTGGCAGAGAATACAGAAGTGATCAACTGAAGCACGCAAGCCAAAAAGTGCCAGTTACAGTAACTCAGTTTTGCTCAGCCCTACCCCCAGTGGACATACAAGTTATAGCACTTAACTTGTCAAATTCTGTGGTGAACTACGATTTCATGGTGTGTCAATTTTAAAGTCTACCTCTACAAGAATGACCTGTGCACAAAGAATTTATGAGCACTTTTATGTTCTTTAGAGGAGATGTACTCAGATACCTCAGAAAGAAAGACATATTTACCATAGGAATGTAGGAAGGCACTTGACAGTTGAAATAAAAATACAGCATATTTATGTACGAGACCACTCATTAGTCTATAGGATGAGATGTTCTTTGTCTGCAAAATTCACTCTTCTGTTACAGCACATGAGCCTGCTAACACATAACAGTTCTGACTTCAACTAAAAAATTACATTCCTCTTAACTCTGTGACCAAGGCGCAAATCAGGACCAAGTCATAGCTCAGCATTTTAGGGACCACCATGGGACACAGACACCGACCCCAGAGCAAAAGCCCTTCACAGTGTGATACAGCTGTAGCTGAGGTGTCTGATGATGATAATAATGTCTAATGGCTGTCCTGCACTTCATAGTACTGGCTATGAGGAAGCAGTATTCATACACGGGAAAGTAGGTTGCAAATCAGATTGTTTCACAAGCTTTCTGGTATTAGGTGCATATTATTTAACCCCAAATTGCAGAGGCTATGGAGTTCCATAATCAAGACTACATATGCTCAAATTAAGGTGATAAAGCAAGTTTCATTTCACTCTAGTCATGGTTCCAGATAAATACTTACTGTTGTGATGCTACATGGGAAGGGCATCAGAGAAGGGAAGGAGAGGATCGCAGAAAGCTATCAAAACCTTTTCAGCCATTTAAATATGTCAATTGTGTTTCTTTTAGGATTACCGTGAGCTGCTAGAGAAACACCGGCAAGCACAGTGGGAGCTGGAGGAGGAGGATGACTGCGAGAGCACGGAGGCTGTTGCAGATCTTTACAAGGTGCCTCCTCTAGTAATATGTGTCATTTGCTACAATAATTCTAAAGATCGTCTAAACCACTACACAATGTCAGGCCTTGGTGAGGATTGAGGAATTGCTGGAGAGATCGCAAAAGCTACAGGAAGCTAGGCTGGCAAAACCAAGATATGGAGACAGGACAGTCTTCCACATTAGCGTACCTTTTCCATTAGCTTTCGAACACACTACATTTCCTAGCCTTGTATTAGTCAGAAAATGCTTACTTGGTCTGCCAAAATATACTGCCTGGCTGACAAGGGTGCGCTAACACTGAGAAAATGTAACATCTGACATGACTGCCAGGAGAAGGACTTCACAGAATCACTGAATGTTAGGAAGGGACCTTGAAAGATCATCTAGTCGAATCCCCCACCAGAGCAGGATCACCTACAGTATGTCACACAGGAACGCATCCAGGCAGGTTTTGAATGCCTCCAGAGAAGGAGACTCCACAACCTCTCTGGGCAGCCTGTGCCAGTGCTCTGTCACCCTCACAGTGAAAAGGTTTTCCTGATGTTTTTGTGGAACCAGTTATGCTCCAGCTTGCACCCATTGCCCCTTGTCCTGTCATTGGACATCACTGAGAAGAGCCTGGCTCCGTCCTCCTGACATGCACCCGTTACATATTTATAAATATTAATGAGGTCACCTGTCAGTCTCCTCCAAGCTAAAGAGACCCAGCTTCCTCAGCCTCTCCTCATAAGGGAGACGTTCCACTTCATCGTCTTTGTGGCTCTGCACTGGACTCTCTCCAGCAGTTCCCTGTCTCTCTTGAGCTGAGGGGCCCAGAACTGGACACAGTATTCCAGATGTGGCCTCACCAGGGCAAGAGTAGAAGGGTAGGAGAACCTCTCTCAACCTACTAGCCACCCCCCTTCTAATCCACCCCAGGATGCCATTGGCTTTCTTGGCCACGAGGGCACATTGCTGGCTCATGGGCATCCTGCTGTCCACCAGGACCTCCAGGTCCCTTTCCTCTACGCTGCTCTCCAAAAGGTCAGTCCCCAACCTGTACTGGTACATGGGCTTGTTCTTTGCTGGTACATGGCCTTGTTCTTGCCCTTAACATAATTATCTTTCTTAGTTAAATTTACTACATGTCCAAAAATAGTTTTCTCATCTCTTGTCATCTCAGAGAATTGTTTTGACACTAGTTATTTCCCTGAAATAAGTTAGGATCTTTGGTGTAATATTTTTACACGTCTTTATGTTACAGATTTGGAAAATATATAGATGTTTCATGCTTCTGCGTCATCTTTAATTATTTTCTGTTTACACTGAAAAAATAATGTAACATGACTTATCTGATGAAGCACAGAACTGTAGCCAGCAGCGACCTTTAATTAGGCTGGAACTAATCACTTTCAGCTTAACAGGATCCTTGTCATGACTAGTTATGACCAGATCAGGATGTTATGGAAACTTATAGTCCCTATTACATTAGAATAAGATACCCACACAGTCTTAATTAGCACTAGCCCACATACATTTTTTCAGTTTCAGTTGATAAAAGAAATAAAGCCACTGTATTTTGAATATATAGTTTTGCTATGGTTTTATATAATAGTGCAAGCAACGGGGTATTTGAGAAGAACTGCTATTTTGGAGAAAGGAGAAGTTTGCTTTGAGGGCTATGCCAGTGAATCAGAGTAAATTAATTGTACAAAGCTGTTTAATTTAAGAAAAGTCAACATGTCTGCTGATATTACTGCACAGAGGCCATTCTCCAGAGTTACTAACTTCTCCACCCCCTTCCTCAATTCACAAGAGGTCTCTGGAGACCAAACAGGGTTTTTTTACCCTGCACAGTTCCACCTCATTTGTGAAATTATATTGCTCTCCTTTATTGTGTACTCTGCTTTAGTGACACTCAGATCAGACTGAAAATCCTATTTCTTTCAGGACTCTTGGCAAAGTTTTCTTTTCCATTAAAGAAAAATTGGTTTGGGTGAATTAAGTGTTTCTAGAATTGCCAAGTTGCCAGGAGAGCTGCACAAACTTCAACTCTGCCAGTTCACCCAGCTCTAAGCCATTATATTCCATATTACAGCTGCTCTTTCATTCCTAGACCCAAACAAACACTGCCAGACGTGAAAAACTGCTAGTACTGTGATCCAACTGGCATCTGTTGAATGAAGATCCACAAATCTTTATTTCCACTTTTGTATCTATCATAAAACATTTTTATTGTGACATTTAACATAATGAACAGCTGCACTTTCTCCACTTAACCCTAAATACAGATACTGCAGACTGTTTCAGAGAGCAAACTGCTTCTGAATATACCTTGTAAGTAGCATAAGCTAGAAAGAAGAGGAAATAGAAATTAATGTGGCCCCACTGTACATAAATGGAGATGTTTTGACTCTACAGCTTAGGAAAGTGCAGTAGTTACACGTGTTGACTGTTACCTAGGGCATAAAAGCAAAAGTGGTTTCATCATTAAGGAAAGGAGTTAGATCTCACAATCACAGTGTTTTTGCATCTCTTTCCGCTCCGCCACACTTGCAGAGCACAAGTGCACTTTGGACAAGGAGAAGCCTTTCCCTGGCAGCAGAGCTTTGCCCCTTCACTTAGTTTCTTCCAGTTTCTGCCAGACAGAAGCTACTGGGGAAGACTAGATACCCATGGGAATAGGGATTTGAGATCCTCCACAGTACAAAGGTGTGAGTGCAGCTTAGGTAGACGTAAGCAAGCAATCATTAGACTACGCAGCAGGGCACCACCAGCCCTCACATGGCTATAGTCAGTACTGCGCTACAAGACCTGTGTCCCAGCTGGGTTTGAACCAACTGGTTTATAAAACCTGCTAGTCTGGGCACATCTGCAAATGTTGCAAAGCTCCGTGTTGTCATTCCAGAATATCTGTGCTCCCTGAAGTGTAACTGATAGTCATTTCCCTTGCATTCATTTGGAAGGTTTAGACTTTCCTGTTTCTGTTCTACCATAAGCAAGGAAAACATTAAAGATTTGGTTAAACATTCTATTGTTCATTTAGTCTCCATATTTCTGTAACTGGAAGCATGTGATACTAAGTTAGAAGCCAAGAAAAGAAGTTCAGCAGAGAGTTCTAGTCTGTTGCTTTATCATTCCAGTAGAAATGGAAGCCTAATAGTATAATTGAAAAAACTGAGCAAAACCCTCTAAAGTCACCCTGGAATGCTCCACAGATTCTTCGATGAATATTCCTCAGCCTGTGATCCACAAGACATCCAAATAGAGACCACAAAACATTTAAAAAAGATGCATTCATACATCTGTAAACACAATCAGAGTGGAAAAAACTAAAAGTAATTAAATATTGAAGAGTTCAGCCCAGTTTTTATTTTGTTGCAAATGAAAATTAGCCTTGCAAAACTGCATAGTTACGACTTTCCCACACAGAGAAGTTAAATAGCTGTTGCTTTTAAGGAAAACAAAATGGAGATGTCTTATTAGGACCTAACTGCCTAAATCCAAGAGGAGATCAAGTGTTATATAAACCGCAGTTCCTCCATAACTAAGATTTAGTAATAGCATCCTGTATGCCCCCTCTTCCAAGTAGCTCATACTCACTGCTGGCCCAGCATTAAAGAAATGTCATTTATTTCTTCTGGGCTGAACAATCTAATATTGTCCAGTACTCACAAGTTCCTCCTTTTGTACCCATTGCTATCTTGACTTTGGTTGCAAACCCCCAGAACTGGAATGAATCACAGCACACTTCTCAGGTTAATGACATCAGAACCCAAAACGTGGTGATTACATTCAAGTCCTCTATTTTCTTAAGTTGCTTTCATGATCCTTGGGCACCATCAGTATTGCAGTTTATCAGATAAACACCAATATCCTTGTAATGTTCATTCAGACAAATGACTGTTTGGAGGAATATCCAATAAGTTGAGGTACTGCAACAGCACCAGTGTTGGAGAGATGCATGATACCCAGTTTGCTCGAGTTAGGTCCCGTTCTCAAGCATACCTTCAGGCAAGAGCAGGTACTAGCAGCTTTCTGCACAACTGTCAGGACATAAAAGTGCCACCATATTGTATCAACTTTCTAAACTGTGCACCCTCAGTTATGTACTATATCAAAACTCGCACTGTAGATAACAGACCAGAATAAATCCTCAAAGAAGACAGTCAGTACAAAGTTCCCAAGGGTTGCACTCTGACAGATTCAGTTGACCAAGCACAGGAGCCCAAGGCTCAGCCATCGCTCTAAGCTCATGGTGCTTAGCTGCTATATTTGAAGGCTGTTACACGTTTTTTTTTAACCTTTTTTTTTTTAAAGAGAAAATGACCTGGCAAGGTCTCATATGTGATAAAGGTTTATCTGTGATAAAAAGTTTAGGGAGGGTAGGAAGCCTGACGGACGTGGTTTCATGAATAATAACCTCAATGCAAGAGGTGACATTAAAACGTGAGGAAAAGGTCACCATGTGGCCAAATAGGGAACCAATTAATGTCCTGGATACAGATGTCACTTAACTGTAAGTGCCATTCATTTGTAGGAGAAGGTCCTTACCTTATTCTCACAGTGTTCTTCTGAGCCTTTCTTAAATTCCTGTGCCTTTTTTTTTCTTCATTTTTTCCCCCTTTTAAAAAGTGTGTGAGTTCATCAAGATAGATTTATATAACCCTCTAGAACTACTGTAGCCCATAGTGCTATAAGACATCAAAGAATTACCCAGATTGGTGAATAAATATGTAAAAATGCAATGATCTGGAAGCTGACTGTGTTTGCATAGAATAATTGAGTAGGTTTGTTTTGTGTACACATGAATAAATCAATTAAAACGATTTAACCAAGGTCAATGGAATCTGCTGATGCCTGAAGTGAATGAATGAGCTATATATGGGGGATTAACTAGCAGATTAAAATAGTAGGTGAATAGTCTGTGTCTAGACATAGGCTTCGTAACTAATTTTTGTAGTGCAAGTTGAGGAATGGGGCGAGTGATTTTGATTATCACAATATACCATAACTGAAGGAGGAATTGT